CCAGATCCAATCTTCAGTAACAGAGCGATTCCCTTCAACAGATGCGAGGATGCTGACAGAGCAGGATAGCAGACACCCCATTCTTGTCTGCAGTGCAAACAGAAGGAGGATTGCTTGGCAGTTCAGAGAAGCCTGCACTTTACACCCACTCACCAGGAAATCTGCCAGCTTTGCTCAGGGATGGAATTAAAACAGGATTTAACCAGGCAGGCAGCCTGACCTCAGGAGGGTGATCTCCCAGACACAGAGTGTCTCCTTAGTCATTCCAAGTGTCACAGCGGAGCCCTGTCTCCTGAGCCGGGGCACCTGAACAGCAGTGCCCGAGGAACAGAAGATCCTGCATTAGGTGGCACGGCAAAGAGGTGACACTGCAGCAGCACTGATTCATCCCACGTCGTGCTCATCAGTGAAGCGCTGCAGCAGAAGCAAGCGGTGCTGGAGGGCATGCCGAAAGGACACTGCCGTGCACGGAGCTCCAGAGGTCCCGGGGGACAGCAGGAGGCACGTACACAAGGTGTGGGCTAGCAGCTAAAGGCTCCATATCCAAAAAGGGTGATGGTGCAGACAGCACAACAGAACCTCACAGCCCAACAGCCCTGATCCTGTTGGTCACGAGGACTTTCTATACAGCAACACCAGAAGAAGCCTATTATTACTTGGCTCTCAAGACCAGCCCAGGGTGACTGATCATTCAGCCGAGAAGTGTTTGTTCTGCCACCCATTCCTTAATCCATGTGCGCAAGAAAAACTGCACTGCAAGGACTCCGTGTTCTTTGTCTCCAGGAACTCCAGGTGATTCAGTCACCCCAGCAGAAATATTTTTGATGAGTCTGTACTGCACGAGTGAGTTAAGCGTTACTCTCAGCTCATCCCGAGCGGGTGAGTACAATAAACCAGCTTGACACAAAATTATGGAAAGCAGACCCTCAGGTAACCTAGGCTAAACCAGAAACTCAGCAGCGCAGGGCCCTGCGTGACATGCAGCATGCACAAAACAGCTATGTTTCTACAACCAGTCCATCCCACCTGTGCAAAAATTAGAAAAAAACCCAAAACCAACACACCACCACCCAATACCCACACAAGCAGAGTCATAGCTAGGCTGCTTTAAGAAGTGAGCTCAGATCATAGCACAGAACAAGGGAAAACGTGCCAGTAAAATAATCCTTCTTCCTATTTCATGCAGGAAAACGCTTTCTAATATCCAAAGCATGATTCATGTCCAGGAACAGCAGATTTTCTGCCCTAGCACCAACACAGCCACATGCAAGATCTTCAGTTGACACGTATTCAACCAACCTCCCTGGGGCAGCTGGCACAGCACAGGGAAGAAAACATACCCAGGACCTCCAACTGCCCCAGAGATCTTGGTTACATGCAAGAACCTACTTCTTACTAGTGCTGGAAGAAGCTGTCTAGCGCACAGTGCTCCCAGCATCTGGTACGTTCAAGAGTTACCTTCCTACCACTGAATCCCCTTAGCTAATCAAGTGGTCTCTGATCACAGATTTAGATTCAATGTCCTGAGTCATAAAAGAAACGAAAGCAAGTCCCGTACACCAGACCACACGCTGCTAAGCTTTCAGCGTCAACATGTGTGAAGAGTTGAGCTGATCCTCAGAGTTCTGGAAATCCATTTGCTAAGAAACCTCATTTCCAGACCAAGTCCTCATGCGGTAGAAACCATCATTTGTATCCTCGTTGTCACTAGTTTCCACCTTAAGGAACAAGAGCTCATTTGGCTGTCTTTAAAAAGAGTAAGACAACCTCTGGTCTCCAGATGTCTCTCTAGACTGCTGTACTCCCCTCGACGGCTGCAGTCTGGACACCCCAATTCCAGCCCCTCTGCAATCCAGCTGCAGAGTCGGGCAGGGATCGCTCAGTAGCGGCTAACGCACCCTGCATAGGGAGGAATCCGGTTTTCACTTTATACCAAACATCTCCTCTGCCTAGGAAAGATCTCCACCACAACTCCCTACAGACACGCAACAGACAGCACTTTTAGAAACACAATACAATATGATTTATCCTCTTTTTGAGCAAGGGTTCTCGCATTAGGCTCCTAGACTATTAGTGGGAGCACCTCTCACTAATACATGAGCACATAATAATGGGAATATGCATATTTCATTTCGTGAGCCGTTCTCATGTAATGATGCTGCTCTTAGGACTCCAGTAAGGGGATCTATAAAAGTCCAGACACTGAACTTTTATGCATTAAACATTCACCGGTATCATTTATTCCTAGGAAGCTTCTTATTTTGTCATTATTTATGAACCAGTATCACAAAGATCTATGACACGAAGGAACACAGCAATTTTCCTGGATTTGAGGATAAAACAAGTGTGCCAGGGTAAGAGCTTCTGTCAATATTAAGTATCAGCACTGCAAGTGTCTGTCTGGGACAAATCTGGCATTACATCAAAAATCTTTGAGTTGTATGAGGCCTGGTTAGCATTAGCTTTTAACCAGGAAAACGCAAACGAAAGCATCATTGGGTGTAATCACTTGCTTACAGCTGCTGTGGTTTTGGCAACCATTTCCTTGTGTGTAAGGAACACACGAGTAAAAGCTAAAGTCAGTGTCGACAGGAGGTGCAGAGGAAGGGACAACACAAAATGCAACAACAGACAAAGCGACAGGGCAACACGAAGATTCACAGGAAATATTTTTTCCTTTTTGCTCTATGATGTTGTAATACAAGAATAACCCTCCTCAGTTTTAGAAACCCCAAAAGTCATGGCTCCATTAGCTGCAACTATGACATTTTCAAGGGTAAATATATATGCAGCTATGAATGAAGCAACCAATCTTGTATCAGAGGAACAACGTGAGTAGTAAGTAGTCTTTTCCACAAAGTAAGGAAAGGTGGGCAGAAGCCAGCCTTCCACAGAACTGCACTTTTATCTTTGCAGATCATTTACTCTCATACAACTCCTAAGCAGACACAGAGCAAGGCCAAACACTCAGACACATTACACACAGAACGTAGGCAGTCAGACCACATCAGACTGTGTCTGATGACCGATCACCTTACACCAGGGGAGACTCCACACCAATGCCACCTAAGCCATCTCATTTTGTCCAAGAAATCAAATTACCCAGGTCATACAAGGAGTCTCTGACAAAGCTGGTAACTAAACATATACCTGGGCATGCCTTGAGCCCAGGACCATTCTCAAGGTCTTGTTTTGTGGTATCTTACACAGCTTCTTGCTAATATCTCACCAGGCTACACTGCTACACACAGAATTTAAAGCTCATTTGCCATCACATAAGGAGAAAAATGCATTGCTGCAGTTCTAACAGTGACGAAATCACTCCTTTTGCAGGAAATGTCTTTGAGCTGCTTCCTACCCAGCAGTTATTTGAAGCAGGGCAAGGAACAGAACATAACATGAACAAAGGTTTTGAAAGAGCTGCAGTAAGCAAATCCAGCAGCATAATGCTTCATACAAATGCAAACTGTAGAGGAAGCACAGAAGAAGGCACTCACTCCCTCAACTGAAAAGTCAGTAAGTAAACTTAAAAGGTAGAGAGCAGAACAAAAAAAACACGAGACCTAATGCCCCAAGCAGCCTGTGCCAAGGAAATTTCCCCAGCTCTCTGAGCTGCTCTGCAGCATGCAGCAGGCCAAAGGCGGTCACTGCTTTGCAAGACCAGCCTGCAAATGATCTTGCTTGAACGGTGGTTCAGGAGCAACGCACAGCCAGCCTCTCACTCAAAGGATATTTCCAAGAAGCAATCCCGTTCCCAGCAGCCCTGCCTCCCTCCCAGAGCAGCCCGAAATCCCCCACATCCACCTCTCTCCAGAACAACGCCAGGCATTAAACGCTTTCCAAGGACCTGGCCCCTTGGAGCACCTCGCCATAACCCCCTACCCCGGCAGAGAGGGATGCGGTGGGTGACACAGCCCCGGGGGGCCGGGGTGACACAGGCAGACTACAGCACCCAGAAGGCATTGCAAATAGGCTGTACCAACCGGCTGGGACTCGTGTTTGGGGTGACGCAGAGCCCACCGGAGCCAATCCACGGGAGGAGGAGGAATGTCAACAAACACGGCGGCCTGCGGGACATGTGATATCAGGGACAGGGCAGGCAGCTCCAGATAAGCCACCCCAGGGCCACCCGGGGGGTCCGGCGGTCACGCAGCCGTCACTTGCAAATATCAGACCTTGGGGTGGCACAGGCTGCACCCACAGCCCGCACGCCAGCCCCGCCATCCAGAAGCAGAAGGGTTCCATTTTAGGCTTTTAGATCCCGCAGCGTTTTTTAAAAAAGCATCACAAATGTCAGCGAAAACTCGCCCCATAACGCAGCAGGATTTTTTAAACTAAAAATTCAAGGAAAAAAAAAAAAAAACATCATTGGATAACTTGGGTTTCAGAGCAGATCGGTTTTAGCCCCTTATATTAGATCTTCAGAGCTGACTTTGAGGGAAAAAGCAACTGCGGGAAACCACAATAATCTAAAAACATCTAGTGCAATTTTTAACGCTTAGCGACTGCCACAGGGACAACAGAAAAATGCAAATGAAAATCCTCTGGAACTGAAGACAATCATATGCTACAATGTCACACTCACACTATTTTTACATTGCTTAGGAAAAAGGAATTTTCTTAGGGAGTATATCCAGACCAGAGAAGGAAAATAAAAGGTAGGCATGCCAAGAATAACTACTGTAATTTTATTTCTAACATTCTGAGAACTTACGAGCTTCCAACACAGACATATTCATCACACACTGCATAACATCCTGGGAGCAGGAGCTCCCGCCTCAACTCCCAACTGCATCAGAGTTCTTCGGTCCAGACAACAATTAATACATGATCTGCTCAGCTGTGTTTGTTTATCTCTCCCTAACTTATCAGGACACTTCCCTCCACCCCCTCCGAGAATACACATTTGATTACAAACATCTGTTAATAACTGAAATTCCACAAACTCCATTCAACCTCTCCCAAATCCAGAATGCTTTGCCATAATTGAATGTATTTACCTGGAAGTCATACAAGGCAACGATGTTTTCGTGTTTCAATTCCTAGAAGAAGTAAAACAAACACCATAAGCTAGGGGCAACAAAAGACATACAGAACAAAGACTGAAGAAAACAAGTCAGTCTACTTTTACCTTAAGTATTTTTATTTCCTTGCCCAGCAGAGTTTGAGATTTTGCAAGGTTCTTCTTGTTAATGCATTTCACAGCTACTTCCAGCTCAGGTTTCTGAAAGAGTGAATATGTAATTCAATAATAAATGTAAATTTCACCATTAATTTACATTAGGATAAGCAGCCTCTTAACAGATTACAAATACTACTGAAAGAAGTGTCTTGCAGCACCGGTAAAGGCCTCTCACTTTATATCCTAATGCCTATCCCTCACTTGTTCAGACTTGCCCCTTCCCAAATTATGCTTGTCAGCCCAAGGAGAAAAGCCCAAGGTTTGGGTTTTTGTTACTACTTTATACGATGATTATCCTCTTATTTAATCACTAGAAATAAACGCACCGTGGGAGCCATGGCTTATCCCAAGCCCTAATGATGGAAAATCCACTGCTGGATTGGTTTCCTTTTATTTACCAGTGAGCGATTTCCCCTCCTCTTGGAAAAATTAAGTGGAGAAAGACAAAACTTCAGACACACAAAAAAAAACAAAAACAAAGCAAGAGCCATCTACACACTTCACAGACGGCGTGCGGGGATTTTTGTTCGCTTGATTTCAAGGTGAGGGCCAGTTTTGGCGAGCAGGACGCCTCTGCGGACCCCTCAGCCCCGCTCCGGCCAGCCCCAAGGTGAAGCCACCTGCCCGGGTCCTGCTGGGGCGCACCCTTGCCTCCCAAATAAACTCTAGAATAACAATAATAAATAATAATAAACACGTCTACCATCACCAGAGCTGCCCCAGAGCCCGGGGCTGATGCCCAGGCTAAGAATAGCCGCCGCAGCCCAGCAGGGACGGGGCGACCGGGACGCGGTGCCCATCTCGGCCCAGACCAATAAATAAATAAATAAGCGGGGTGGGGGGAAGAAAATAAGAGATAGTTCACCTCTTTGTGCCTGCCTTTGAAGACGACGGCGAAGGCTCC